TGATAAAAATCTAAATTAGTAATTTGTGCATATCTAAAAAAGTTTGCCTTTGATACCTTTTAATTTTGACACAAATTTCAAGGGACCTTCTACTTCCCACAGTACATTGCCATGTCTCCACCATTTATGTCACAGGACAACTATGACAAATTTATTTTATGCTCTCATCTGTTCAGAAGCTGAATTGATTCTGAGGTGCTTCTTATTGTTTTTAGATCACTCCAATCAAGTTTCTGTTCCTACCAGATCATTGCGTCCAACTCACTCCATCACATTAATTGTTCCTCGCTCCAGGACTAACGGCTGTGATAATGTTGCATTTAATTTATATCCTAGAAGATTTTAATATGCGCTCTTATTGTGAAATTATTGGTTCATAATGTAAATTCTGATGGGCTGCACAGAGAGCAAGCTGGAAACTTTAATGAAAGCCTGTGGCAGTCTGAGGGCTTTCAGTGACATTTGATCGTGATGCAGTAATATATTTCGGGAACTTCAGATGACTTCTTCAGGTATTTATTACATAATGCATATCTAAAAGGAAAGGTGACCCTTTGGTTTCCTTTTACAGAGATGTCTTACAAAACAATTCATTTTGGGGGTCATCTGATGTCATTTTTAGCCTTCGTACTGGCATGGCTCTGTGGATGGCAGCATCAGTTGGCTGCTCTTCCTGTCCGTCCAGCAAAAGTACAATATATGGACAAAATTAGACACCAGACAAAGTTTGTCGACACCAAAGCATTACACCCACATGTGATCGATGAACATCTCATCTCAGAAACATGTGTATTGGGCTACTATAACAGCCTTTGTTTTCTGGGAGAGTTTTTCACAAGATTTTGATACTGATTGGTTCAATTAACGGTTTCCCATGTTCAGGCCACTCATGTTCTTCCACATCAAACTGGGAAAATCATTTCTAAAAGTACACTCCTGTCCTCATACTTTTGGCCAAATAGTGTATCTGGAGAATATAAAAACTACAGTATAAGATGAATTGCTGATATCCTGACTTTCCACCTTGTCAAAACAGGTCAAAATGTCTCAGATTAATGACTGAATTCCTGCTTCAGCTGTTTTTTGATATTAATACTAATACAGGCACCAATGATTAGTTGTTAACATTTATTAATTGTTAATATATGTTAATATATGTACATAGTTTACCACCTCACCAGAATATATGTAAAATATGAGTTTAACACTGCAGATTTATCAGTTTACTGGATAGATCAGGGTCTTATTCAGTGCTATGGTTAATGGTTACTAAGTATGAATGTATATCCTGCCTAAAGTATATCATTAATGCCCAGCTGACAGAGTTGTTGAGTGTAATTAGGTCAGTAGAGCTCTTTCCTGGCATACTCATGAATTATTGATTTGATTTATACTGTAGTCTGCCAATTTGGCAACTCCACACTTTCACTGGAGTTCATTCATTTTCTCTGGAGAGTCTCTGTATAATGAGTGAGCTCACAGTTTTTAATGGGCATGTAAACTTTTAACGGGCATGTAAACTTTTAACGATTGAAAATAATGTTACTGTGCGTTGGTGAATAGAAAGTCAGAAAAATGTTGGAACATTAGGTTTAGGACATCAATTGTGATAAATTCACATGATAAAGGGAAACACTAGATTTTCAAATATTCCACACAAAAATAAAAATAAATTCAGAGGTAAATTAAATCACATGTAAAATTGCATTTCTTATATTATCAATTCAACTGTATCATGTAGCATATGTGTTTTTCAAAGGTTTCACATGTTGAAGTTTACATTTGATGTATAGAATGTTATTTCACATGTGAAATGTAACCAAATTGATAGGGGAAAGTTTATGTTGAAGACAGGAATTTATTGATCTAAGGTCACAAGGTGTCAAGCTGTGAGAATTTAGTACATAAAACTAGTGAAATAAGTGAAAAAAATATTTGTCAGTGCTATCCTATCTGATGTTTCATATCAGTGTTTTTCAATATTTAATAAAGATTCCTAACATTTGCCAATCTTTACAGGTCCAGTGCGTAACATTTAAGAGGATCTACTTGCAGTAATGAAATATAATATTCATAATATGTTTTCAGTGTGCAATAAAAATAAAAGGAGTCCACCATATTGCATCACCAAGTTTCTATAGTATAACAGAACACACAAATCAAACACTGGCTCTAGGGCTTTTTGCATTTTTCGTAAATTTTGCAGCCACCATAGTTTCTCCTACATGGTTGAAGGGCTGAGTTGTACTCAAATGGTTGCAATTCTTCTTCATCCGTAGATCCTACACACTGGTCCTTTAAACAAGTGTTAATTGTCTAAATACGAGCACAAAAACCAGAACTGTGTTCAGTGTGTTTAATATGTACAGAGCAAACATTTGTCATTAACCTGGGTGGGAGATCTTGTTTTTATAAACTAAATAAACAACCTGAAATTCAAGCTTTCAATTGGAACTTTCAGAGCAAATTCAGCTCTAAGTGCATGTGAATTTCAGGACATTTCATATGTGAAATATCTGAAAATCATCAAAATCAAGCATATTAAATAATTTTTTAAATGTGAAATTTGTTCTACACATGATAAATTAGTTAAATGCATTTTGCATATGACAAATAAATCTGATTGGGTTATTTTGTAATAGCAATCTAATGACTTGTAGAGGGGCCATGTGTCAAATTTTAATTCTAAAACCATTATTGTTATAGTTATTCTGTGCTTATACAGTCCATTTTACTACATAAATGTTGGTTTATCCAAATGACCATGTAGTATTATTTGAGTATACTGGTGTCTGGGTGTATAATGAAGCAGGCGGTGGGTTTGGACCTGGAGCAACCAAACAGGTTAATCTGGCTTGACTTGACTTTAATCAAAGAAATTCTCACATAACTGGAGAATTACTGGAAGGCACATGACTCAAGTGCACAATAAAGAGCAGAGAATATGAATATAAGTGCATGTAAAACACAATCATAAGAGATATAAATAATGTCTTAAATGAGTTATGTTTGTGATTATGATGCAAAACATGTCCACTTCTATTTGGAGGCAGATCAGACGTCTGCCAACTCTCAGTGGACTCAAGCAAAATTTGACTCTAAGGTTGTTGATAGAAGCGGACTCTGTCCAAATGGCAACATTTTCCAGTGAACCTTTGGACTAAATTGATTTGAATCAATTCCCAGCTGAGTCTAACAGTGCCAATTTGTGACAGTCTTCTTCTATCTTTTTTGTTGTTGTTTGTTTTACATTCATTCTCACTGCCGGTCCATGTATAGAAAGAAGCCTGTGCGTCTGTTCTGTGGGTTGGCTGGTCTACAGACTGTGGTATTATATAACAGATCATTCTGTGAGGTTTACGTCTCCAAAATGCAGCTCTAAGTGTATCCGTAAGTTCATGATGTCTAGACACACATCCTGCTGGGCTGGCTGAAAGCCCAGCCAATCAGATTTAAACTGACTCACAGGCCAGAACAAACTGAAAAAAAAAGAATTTGAAACAACACAGATACTGAAGTTTAACAACAGACAGTGACATGTGATATTCAATGAGAGGGGTGTGTGACATTTGCAGTAATATCACTAGTTTCAACTGAATTAAAGGGCAGATTTCTGTGTGCTGAATTAATTACAGAGTCTGAATTGCTCCTGTAGTTTAAGCCCAGTCAGTCAGTTTGAAACTATGCGGTGAACTCAGTTTGAGGAAATGAGGCCACCACAATCAGTATCATGTCTGATTGACTGAAAACATACTTGAATATTCTTTCTCTTTGATGTATTGCCATTTAAATTATTTTAGTTTTTCTCTGTAATTTGTCCATCTTATGTTATCCTTATTTGCTTTAATCATGCCTCTTATCAAGTACTGCATCACTTGTTGTTTTTTTTAAACTTGACACATATAAATATTATCATTATCATTAATCTGACTCAGGTTACACATATATGAATTGAGAGAAAGATAGAGAGAGAGAGCTTGTGTGAGTGTGAGCGCTTTTCCTTATTTTCGAATGGACTGGACCGTCATTGTACATGCGTATAGTGACAATAAAGGCAGTCTATAAAAAAACACAAACATACTCAATGTTGTTGTAGCTCAATACTACTCAATTTTATGAGAATAGCTTTTAAACCAGATGAACCCAGAACTGCTGATAATATGTTCTGAAGTCTGCTTCAGAAAATGATGCATTCTGTTTGTACAGCTGTGAAACATGGCTAAATACAATGGAGATTTTTACGATATCAGTGATTGATGCTGACAGTATATTTGATGCTATCCCTCCCAAATCCCAAATAATTATATTTTTCTGTTTGAAGTTATCCATTGGAGTATTACAACAGCTGACGGAGATTTAACCCTCTCTGGGTTGACCCCAAACATAAGCAACAGCACCCTGCAGGATACATGAAAAATAGATTTGTCCATGTGCAGCACATACAACATGCAAAACATTAAAGATATTTCCACATTGTGTCACATTCATCAATGAGAAACCCGGCTTGTGGCAAAGAGAATATAGGCTACTCAAAGGAAACCAACCTATGTACACACAGGCTGCAGCAGTGGGGGATTGTGCGACCCCAAAATAATCAGAAAGTGAAACAAAAGTCCAGTTAAAGACAAAATTCCCTTATATAAACTGCAATGAATGGGTGACAACGTGCTCATATCTCTCTCTCTGTGTGTGTGTGACTCACTCTGTGCTGTGTTTGGTTAATGTGGAAGGGGGCACACTTGTCAGAGCATGGGTCAACCTTCCGATGACAGCACCGCAGCGCTGCGCCTGCACCTCGGCCAGGAAGTGCTCGTCACACCGGGATTACGCACCTTTGACCTCCAGCACTGTCAACCGTAATCTGCTCACTGAGATGCCAGTGAGACCAAATCCACCAGCAGCAACCGGTTTGTCACATGACTAGCGTGCAGTGCTGCTTGCCTGCCTGCCTGTGTGTGTGTGTGTGGTTTTTATTTCCGCGTTCACAGAGGGGGAGAGCTGAGCTGGATGAGTCTTCGCGGCCGCGGTGCGTCTGTCTTTCACGCCGCGAAACTGCGTCTCCGTGCGGGGATCTGTCGGGCGGGGGGGGAAACTCACACGTAATCGCATCGCCTGGACCCACGCTGCTGCATGACCACCATGCTCACGCGGGTGAAATCGGCGGTGGCCAATTTTATGGGAGGTATGATGGCTGGTGGCTCCAACGGGGACCATCCCGGCGGCTCCGATATGCCGCTGAAATACCCGTACAGCAGACCGGAGTTCCTGGGGCTGTCGCCGGACGAGGTGGAGTGCTCGGCGGATCACATTGCGAGACCGATCCTCATACTGAAGGAGACCAAGCGGCTGCCGTGGTCCACCGGCTACGCAGAGTGAGTAACCTGTGTGCGTCCATCTTTTCTTGCACACAGCATCCTTTGGGAAAGTGAGCGCGTCCTTCCTGGACCATCACTCACCGAGGCGTAAACATAACCAGCCGCTTATATTGTTGTTGTTATTATTGTTGTTGTTACGGCAGGTTTCATGTGGATATTAAATTGAATATAGCCGTAGATCAGATGGCCTTTTCCACCCATTTCCTTCAGTGATAGCATTAGTATCACAGTTCTCTATGGGGAGGCCAAGACCATAGGACTTAAACATACTTCTGCTAAACAGATAAGGACGCTGTAATCTAGCCTTTATAGTTATATAAGAATCCTTTTATTGCTGTGATTGTAGTAGATGGAGTAGTATGAAAGTAGGCTACAATAAGGTCACTGTGTGAGCTTACTGGTGCAGACTCACTGTAAGATAGGAGTTCATACTGTAGTGCCTTTTTTCTATTATGAGATCAAACTGCACCCTTAAAACTAGGTTGTATTTTAAATAGCAACAACATATTGTATCGGCTCTTATGATGAGGCAAAGAAGGAGAGCATTCACAAATAGCCACCTGTTTCAGTGCTGTGTGCATAGTCTGAATGATTCCTTTCTCCTTTGCTTTTTTTTTTGGTTCATGTCAGTAAAAGCTGGTAAAACCTGACCGAGTCCTTTCAGATGTATTTTCCAAGGAACACACAATAAGTTCGAGATTAGCAGGTTTGGAGTATTTGCTCATTCAATGTTTGCACTAAAAGTCATCCTTCTTCTTCTGGATAACTGAGACCAGTGTTGCAATCAGGCCTAAGATCATCTGTTGTATTATTGATATCACATCTTATGTTTGGGGCGTACAGGATCCATTTGGCTTCCTCTATCCTCCGGCCAAGGCTGTAATAAATCAGCTGTGTGTGTATTTTAAAAGGACAGATCATAAACAGCGTTTAGTGCAGCAGCTTGACTCATGAAAAGCTAAGTTGTTACTTTGCTTCTAGAGACTGGGCTGTCGGTGTGGGAGTGCAGCTGCAAAAACAAATGGCAAAACATGAGAAAATGCAGACTTGGTGAAATATTTTGGCTAATGGCAACAAAGAGGACGTGGAAGGAGGGAAGGAGTTTCTTAATTTGCATGCTGGTAAAATGCAGTAACCACCTTCAGGGTAATGCGATACCTGCAATACACAAAACAGTCACATAGTTTACCTTTAACAGGAAGCAACTCAGAAATTGGGACAAAATGTTGTTCTAATCATTGTCTAACAGCACAATCACAGTCACTTACTCATGTACTGGTGTAGTCCCACATAAAGTATCTGGGTAGTCTGGTGGTTAGTGAGGCTGTCTCATAACTATAGAGGTCACAGTTTAGTCCTCCAGGCAATCCTAACTACTCAGTGTGTGACACAGCAGTTTACTGCCCCAAATTCATAAATTCACACAGTTTTTTTTCTCTCTTCACATTAAGTCTTATTACCTCACTGCTGTTGCTAGGCTGTTAGGGTAGAGTGCTTATTTCCTTGAGCTTAATTTTTTAATCGATGATGTTAGGCATTCAGTAAGAACACTGTGTGCAGAAACTCCTCTCGTCTCTTTGTATCTAATGTTTCTACTTTAGCCGTTCTGCTGGGAACCCCATGTAGATGTAGCAAATGCTTGTCAAGAGAGAGATTAGTGCTGCATTTGTTGGCTCATTTTCCTATTCAGACCAATCCTTTGAAACATAAAATGTTAAAAAAAAAAAGTGAATAAATGACCAGCACACTTTCCCAGAGCTCAAAGTGATGTCGTCAGATTGGTTTCTTTGTCCGACCAACAGTCCAAAACCAAAATACATTCAATCTGCTATTAGATAAATCACAGAAAAGCTGCAAATACTCACATTTCAAAGCTGTAACTTGAGAAAATGGAATCAATTTTTGCTGGATTCAAACAATACATGCTGTTGTTGATTCATTTTCTGTTGATCGAGTAGATGATTGATTTACTTTTTCTGCACTGAAATATATCTGTACAGTATAGTTTCTGCTTCACACAGAATGAAAAAGTCTTTTGAAATAGTTGTATCCCCATACACGCCCCCCTTTACGCTTCCACATGCTGATCTGCCATGAAGAATCTTTAATCTCAACATGGAAAAAGGACTATAAATCTCTTCTGTGAAACCATCACCCACTCATAAATTAGGTTCTAAAGTGGGTTGCATAATTTTAGTTGAAATTATAATCCTAAAATTTGAATTGCTAGTTTATGGTTGAAACAACACAATTATTTCACTAAGGTTTCTGTGTCCTATTAAAAACCAGCTTACTTAAACAGGATGTATAATTCTACAGGATCACTCGTATATGTGTGTTTGTGTGCCAGCTTGGCGTAGCATTAGCCAAGACTGAGCCATACTGGGGATTTGTCAACAGCTGGCTGACCAGCAGGCTTTATTGTAGTGAAATCTCACTGTCAGTGGCGAAAACCTGAGTCCATATGAGATGGTGTGGTCCATACAGATCCACTTGGGAGGGTTAACAGGGTCAGATGGATAAAGCAAATACCAAATATAGATACTTTTAGTGCATCTTAAGATTTGGTGATTACAGCTGCCCTGTTAGGATTATGAGGGGCTCTAATTGCTGACGTTATTATAAAGTTATTGCTTTTTCATATTTTCTTCATAAAATACAGTATACATGACTGGCTAACAGCAACACAAGTCAGATACTTGGATGTTCTTCTTTGTATTGCAGTTACACTTAAATTAAATGAACTGCACTTATAATGCACATATAGCTCCCTTCCAGTCTTCTGACCACTCAAAGCACTTAAAAAAATACATGTCACATTCACACATATTCGTACACTGATGGCAGAAGCTGCCATGCGAAGTGTCAGCTGCTCACAGAAACCACACACACACCAATGGCACAGGATTGGGAGCAATTTTGGGTTCAGTATTTTACCCAAGGACACTTCTACATCCAGAGGGAAGAGTCGGGGATCGAACTGCCAACCTTCTGATTAGTGGCCGATCTGCTGTACCTCCTGAGCCGCAGACACGCTGAGTTATTTGCGATCAGTTACTTTTTATACTTTCCAGCCTTGCTAGTGACATGGCTTCAGGGATGGCAATGTTGGATGGGAATTAAATATCTGATAACTGTTGGTTATGCTACCATTAAGCTTGCATAGAAATCCTCGGTCACCAGAGGATGAAGCCTAATGACTTCTGCAATCCTCTGACTTTCCTTCTAGTGCCAGAGAAGTTTAATCTAATTCAACTCAAATTTAGCTGATATAGTGTCATTGTATTTTAACCTTCTCGCTCTGTTCGACCGTCTCGATGTTGTGAAGACTTGCAAATTTGTTAACATGGGAAACTTTCTGTACCATCCATCCCGTATGACATTAACTCGACGTAAGCACAGCCGATTTCCTACATACATATTACATGTAACATGCAGTATTTATGAGTGATAGGAATACAAAACAGATGGCCTATGTTGATTTGCTTCTTTTTCTTCGAGTTACTGACTTTGTTGCACTTTTTTTTTACATCTTATTTCAACATTCTGACAATTTTTACTGGTTTTAATTACGTGAAAGGACTCCATAATATCAGTATGTCAGTATTTTTAGATGATTAGCAATGGAATGTAAAATCATAGTGAAGGATTATCCCTATGTGCTGTGTTTTTCCCCTTCATGCCCCTGCCTGTCTATGAGTAGGCCTCTCTCAGCTTGCTGGGGTTATCTTGGGTTATTGTGTTGCTCCCTGCGGAGACAGGAAGAGCAGTTCTGCTTTATGAGGAGGTTTCTGATTCACTGTCTATGAGTGGGTGACCTGACTGTCAGGTCCAGTGAACACAATCATTTGAATGGATCAGTGAGTATTGCTCACTCGAACTTGTGTCACCCTCTTTTCCCCAGCACACTTGAAGGCCTCACATTTGCAGACAGGCTACATTTACTGCTGCTTTCCCCCGCACCAGCACTGACCACTAATTATTCTCCTTTTTGTACTCCGTTCACCAGCAGGGTGCAGTTCACAGTGCTGCCATGTTGCATGTTGCTTGGTGTTTCCAAAAGGAGAGGAAAAGAGGGAAACTGCTCCTGATGTCAGCTTCGGATTCCCAGTTCTCTCTGGGAAGTCTTTTCAGTTTTGGATGGGTTGACTTTGCTGTGACCATGTCCTTTTGTAGAAAAGAAAAACAAATGCTAGTGTATGTCACTATCACAGCTAACATATTATTTGTGTTGCAGTCAGTAATTTGAACTGGCTTACATCACCACCGTCAGATTAGTGTAGACATACAGCAGTTTGTGGACTTAAAGTAAGTTATTAAAGGCCACCTCATGTATAACCATGACCACTGTAAACTTTCCCTCGCTGCCTTTCACTTAATTATTTGGTCAAATTAGAAAGTGATTAATAAATCACTTTCACTTTCACACAACACTAAAAATACTTAAATAAATTGTAATAATAATTATTTGTTGCAACCTAGTTACATGATTACTTAACGTGGGGTAGGTTCAATCGGATTCTCCCAGCAGTTTTCTTTACCAAACATTTAATTTCTGCTTCACATCATTTCTTGAACCTTTGTTAAGTTTCCATTGACATCATTTGGTTTTGGACTTCTAGCCTTTCTGTTGTTTGCTCCAAGTAAAAAAGGCTTTGGGCTCCAGCTAATGTGTAGCTTCAGTTTGGATAAAAGTGGGGTTCAACTTATTGTGGTCTTGAGACAAATAGAGACTGGCAATTAGCATGACGTATTGTAGTTGGGGATGCACAATTATCGGGCCAGATAAATTATCAGCAGAAAATTGGAAATTTATATTATTATGAAATTACAGCAAGTTTACAGCAACATAAATCATCGGCCCATAATAATAACAGTTAATTGGAAATTTAATGCAAAACATGCATGCAAAGCATGTTTGTGAAGTTTCAGAACTGTGTTTTGTTGTTGTGTAAGCAATGGTGATGCCAGTTAGATTTGGTTAGCTCAGAGATATG